TATCGGTTTTAAAAGTGCAAAGGACAAACTTTATTCAAGGGTCTTAAGGCAGATGAAGGTTCACAGACACTACAAGGGCAGTTCCAGAGCCTCCATGTACAACCGTGTCCTTATAACGACTGGTCCTTGTAAGAGGTCAGCAACACTATCCTGTTTTCCTGTACAGGCCTGGGATTCCCCTTAATTTCTTTGCATCAGCTTTGTCAGCACAATTACCCAGAGTTCCCAAGAATTGGGACATTTCCAAGAAATTGCCCAGTGGGTCAGAGGAGTGCTGTCAAATGAGATGGACCATCTTCAAATCAAAATGTGGGTGGTTTCTGCTCATTGCTGCGTGTTTCACTTCCATTCTGGAGTCTAAGAACATCACTCCAGGAGATACAATGCCAAGGGCCCCCCCGCCACTCTTCATCATTGCCCAAGTCATAAGAATCATCCCCCAAATCCCTTCTATTTCTCCAAAGTGGGGTAACCCAGGGCTGGGTAAGCCTGTTAGGGCAGGTCACGGTGGCACATACAGAGGAAGAACTCAGACAGACAGACAGACAGTGACAGGGGACCAGCAGCACTGTGTGCTCATCACCACCCTCAGGAATTCAAGGGCCCTGTCCTGGGACCTGGGTCACCTTCTGAGATAAGTGCTACTGAGGTTCACGGCCAAGACCCTTGCAGGAAATTCGGAAAGCGGTTGGTTTCCATGGAAAAGTAGTCTGACTCAGAAGGCGTTTATTCAACAAGGTGGAAGCTGACAGCATGTTTCTTTGCTCTGGGCCCTGGAATTAAACTCCTAAGAGACCCTATTCTTTTCTGACGACTGCTTCTTTGGAAATGGTTCAGCTTGGATTTTCAGGGCAAGAAACTCATGTTTTCTTGGCTTGCTGAACTGAATAACAAAAGAAACAGACATGGGGACCTGTCTGCATCCTACAGTTGGTTGTCAAAAGAAAGAAGAGAAAAGTCCTTCTTCAATTTTTAACCATCCAACTGATCTCAAGTATGCAGCCCTTCCCTAGGCAGGGGAGATCACAAGGACTTTATTACTTGTGCTCTCAGGGTAATGAGACTTTGGTCCTGCTCACCCACCGCCTCCTGTGGTCACGTCAAGGCCCCACCTCTTCTGCTCCTCACCTACCACTCCCTCGGCTGCAGTCCTGCCTTGGGTAGGAGGAGTCGTATGGGATGGGCCACTGTCTTGTTTTGCATTGTGCACACACCTGGCCAAGGTGGTGGTCTGCTTTCGGCTCAGGGTCTCATGAGTGGTCCATGAACTCACACCCATCAATCTCCAGCCATCAAGACTCAAACAAGCCCCTCAGGTTGGCAGAGATTGGGGGACTGACCTCATGTCATCCCCCCATTTTCCACATTACCACCAGTTAAGAATTTCAGCCCCCATGATCAGATGGGTGAGAAATAACCCATCTTCATTTTCTTCAATAGCCTGACTCTGACTCCATAGGTCCCACCCACCAGGCAGGAGAGGACTGAACCTCACAGCTACTGGCCCTTCCCCATCTTCCAAGGCTTCCTCTTCCACCTCAGGACCTCAGGAGAAGGGCCTCGGACATTCCACCACTATGTGTGTGGTCTGGCAGCTTTCTGCCCTATACTCCTGTGGAGCTGGGAGTCTTGGACAAGACAGACTATCTGATGCCGGGGCCTCAGCCTTTTAAATGTACTCACGGGCCCTGAGGAGGCCTGGCCTCCTCCTGGGGATGCAGACAGGGAGCAACATGCATGTAACCCCTGCCCACAGGCTCCGTGAACCTCAGATCTGTTCTCAATCTAAGAAACACAATTCCACTTCCCCTTCACCTCTCTCACTCCGGGACACTTTGCACTACCTTTCCAATGGGCTTAAAAGAGTGGAGGAAAAATTGTCTTCAGACAACGTTAAACAGTTTTAAAACAGAAAATTTACTTACAGGGACTTCCTAGATGTTAGAAGAAATCACCAGGTAGCTCCAGGTAGCTAGGAAGTAGGAAGAGCCCACCTCTTCTTGGAATGAGGAAGAACACACATGAACTCTCATCTCATAAAATCCAGTAGTCAACTACAACATGGCTTATGTGAGTGAAAAGATCCCAGAATGAGACCACCTGCGTGAGCCTGTGCCTGGTGGTCTCAGAGCATCCTCCTCCTCCCATCCATCCCTGCTCTGCCCTGTATCATGGGGGTCTGGCCTCTGCAGGCTATGAGCCCTGGGTTCCTGTGTCTCTGGCTTCTGACTGGGTTGGACCAATGGGAAGCCTGGAGGGACACGGGTGTGTACAGGAGTCTGGGTGGGCTTCTGGCCTCTCTTTGTTGGGCTGTCTTGCCTGGAGGCTCTTTCCTTCTACAAGCCAGCTTCAGCCACAGGGACCCAGCCTGGTTCTAGCTTCCCTCCAGTAAGTCTGATGGGCTCTGACAATTGCCTCCTTCCTTGTGCATCCAAGAGCTGGTAGCCACTTCCTGATGCTGTGGACACCAGGGTTGCCTCAGTGTCCCTTGTCTGACTTTTTGGCTCTTCTACCATCTACAAGGTCCGTGTGATTAAATTTTCTATCTTATAAAACTTAGGATGACTGTTTATCCTCACTGGGTCCTGACTTAGCCACTTACTACTGTGTGGATGTGGTCAAGCTTCTTTCTCCTGCTATGCTCAGTTTCCTCATCTGGAAAGTAGGATAATAATGGGTTCTTCCTTAGAGAACTCACCCCAGAGTGAGTTAAAAAAGGTAATCTTCAGAACTTGTTACTTGGAGCTCACACAGTCAGTGGTGGTGTTTGGAGTCTGTGCCAGAGGGTCCTGAGGTGTGGGCTGAGGGTGATCTTTGGTGGTGCCCGTTCACTGGATTCAACAACTGCCAATCACAGCGTGAGGACGTTGTTCACTTTTCCGGTGGTTTTGTTTTCTCTGTCTCTCTTCTTCTGGATACAACGAAAGCTGTAGTCTGTTCCTAGTATGTCTTTAGAACTTGGAGTCTCCATGACCAAGGGAGAAAGAGCAGGTCTCACACTGAGGAAGCAGAACACAACAGCATCGTTCTGTTTACATGGAATTTGCTTTTACAGCCAACTTCTACTGATGGCAAATGATACAGTGTTCCATTTCTGGAGGTGATAAAAAGTTCTTTTAATAATGATTTCATGTAAGTTTAAAAAAAAAAAAAAAAAAAAAGATCGACTTGAGAAAACAGAAGTAAAAGAGTGCAGTTGGGAGGAGCTTGATGACCTGAGCTTGGAAGGCCTTTCCTGCAGACGTGCTCTGGGGCTATTGGGTTGAATCAGGACACGGAACAACAAAGACGGTTTCTGCCTTCAAGGAGTGCGTGGTTCTTGGCCAAGTTCAACAGGAATAATATGACAGAACATAATTAAATAGCAAGTAATTTGTTACAGATGCAAATTCTGCAAAAGTTCAAAGACGCATGGGCCAACGGGGTCGGGAGAAGGCGGAATGGAGGAGGCGACTTAACGGGAGGGATTCTCGGTGGTGAACACAGGTGCAGAGAAACGGGGACCTGGGTTAGGGGAGTGAAGGAGAGCGAGTGTGACAGTGTGGCAAAAATGGGTTTTGAGTTTCTGGGGTAGAGATCCAGGTCGGTGTCAGGGGTGCTGGGGGTTCTGGGAAGGAAAACGATGACAAGTTGAGGGCAGGAAACGTGGAGTTCTGCATCATTAAGCCTCAGTTTCGCGGGAGGCTGTAGTCCTTGCAGAATCGTTTTTGGCTGCGGTGTGCAGTCGACATCTGTGGCTGAACCACTGCAGAAGGAGGACAGGCAGATGCTGTCACCCTGGTGTAACCCTGTTCCTCCGGAGAGAGACTGGGAAGGGGCCAGGTGAGCAGGGCCAGGGGGCAGCAGCACCATCAGGGCGCTCATGGGTTAAAGCCTCGTCTGGGGACACAGTGAGGAGCTGACCCAGGAAGGAAGAGGCTACAGAGTTCTTATCAGACCACATACACACACACACACACACACACACACACACACACACACGTCAGAGATCCAACTCTTCCTACAGTTTCTCACCAGGAAAGGGGGTCATGGCTGGGTTGAAGAAAGTGAGGCAGGAGTGTTTCCTTGCAAGGAAGATTTGTGTGGAGGGGTATCTCCCAAGGGTGCCCATGTCAGGCAAAAGGTTCTCTCTGTGGGATCCCCAATCCATCTGATCTCCTTTCTGCAGGAGCCTTGCTCTTCCTCATGGAGACACATTTGCATCTAGAGGGAAAACTGTGAGTAAAAGAGATGACTACAAAATGCACATGTGGATTCCACCGTGGGAAAGTGGGGAGCCCGGGGCCGGGCACAGCATCCCAAACAAAGGTGTGTCACAGGACAGTCGCATGCTCAGGCTGCCCTCAACAGAGAAATAGGTGAAGGAGAGCATTTCTCTTTCCACAGCTAACAATATTCTTATCTTAACAAGAACTGGTTTTTGTTTGTTTGCTTCTTTTGTTTTGTTTGTTTTTTTGAGACGGAATCTCACTGCAACACCCAGGCTGGAGTGCAAAGGTGCAATCTTGGCTCACTGCAGCCTCCACTTCGCTTCACAGGTTTAAGCGATTCTCCTGCCTCAGCCTCCCAAGTAGCTGGGATTACAGGTGTGCACCACCACACTCAGCTAATTTTTATATTTTTAGTAGAGACGGGGTTTCACTGTATTGACCAGACTGGTTTTGAACTCCTGATCTCAATGATCTGCTCACCTCAGCCTCCCAAAATACTAGAATTACAGGCGTGAGCCACCGTGCCCTGCCTGTTTCCCTTTTTAGTTTTAAATTTGGTAGTCAGGATTTTATATTTTGCTGCAAATGATATGAGAAAATTCAAAGAATCACATAAAATCACGCTCTCCCCTGCCTGCTGTCACTTGCCATCTATCAGTGGCACCGATCTTCAGCAGTGGCCGTAACTAAATAGCCCATGCTCCTCAGCGGGGCCGCACACGTGCAATGCAGTTGCAATGTGTAACACGAATATGCAACATCTACAGAACAAATTTTCTTCTTTTCCAGAAACTATAAACATTGAAAGGAATGCTGGGACCTCCAAAATCTGCAATTACATTTCTCGTAAATGGCAACTCATTGTCATCCTGCGGACATGGATTAAACCACAGGACGGGGTCTGAACCGGGAACACTTGCAGGTTAACAGCAACAACATCCATCCCAACAGAATCACCCCCATCGCAGTGAGCAATGAGCAAAAACATGGCTCAGAAACTGTTTCCCCAGATGTTCAATAAAGGATATTTAAATGAGACATTTACCATCTGGTTAATAACACAGCATTGAGTGGGACTTGGTAACAATATCCCAATACGTAAGCTTTTAAAATCAGTTCTTTTCCCTGAGCATAAAACTGCTTCTCCATCTGCCCTATGAAAACAAGCGATAAATAAATGTTTGTTCAACCTCATCCTTGTCAAAGTCGTCGTTCTTTGGGGTGGGGGGGAATATATATGTGTGTGTGTGTGTGTGTGTGTGTGTATATATATATATAAACTGTCTTCACTGTGGGTTAAACAAAACTATCTGCAACATGTGCTATGATCGGCCTTTGCCACAGCACATGGGAGACAGGAACTCAGAGCTGCCAACAAATCCCCACCTTGTTAATTTTATCAAAGCCACAGATAATCTGAAAACAGGAAAGATGCTATAAATGGTAGTTCTGTTGTGGATCCATCTTGCAGCCGGTTTGACCAGCATCTACTCAGCCAGAGGGCAGGAGAGGGCAGGGCTTGAGATATCTCTAAATTCCTCTTTTCCTTTGCTTTCTAAGTCCTCATCCTGCTGGGCTTGCAGCCTGCCTTGGGGTCCCTTCAGCCTCCCCCGATTCCACCCTGTAGACCAAGTGGTGCTGAGCCTTCCACTATGGGCTGTGGTCACTCTGGGGCCACTACACATCCAAGGTCTACAACCTCGAGAGAGTCCTCAACACGGCTCATCCACCCTGCGCGCTCCACACAGGCCCTTGCACCAGTGGCTCAGAGTGGATGAGCAAGGTGACATGGAACGTGCATGTGAAGTGCTGTGAGCAGGGCCGAGCACCCAGCATGCAAACCAGGGGTGAGGAGGCGTGAAGGGACTCCTGCAGTCACCCTGAGATGACAGGTGTGGACAGGATGGTTTTGGGCAAACAGGGCCTGCAGTCACTCCCTGTGTAAGCACTAGCTATGATTGCGATCATCCACCTCATCTCCCTCAAATCTCCTGCCCATGCCTGCCCCATCCTGCCGTACATTGAGCATAGATTCCTCCTCCTGGGGGAATCAGAAGCCGAGACTGGAGGGGCCCCACAGCTGCCTGCGGCCACCCGCACTACCTACTCCCTGTGTGAGGCGTTCCTCCTCCCCCGATGCCCTGCTCTGCTCTCCAGCTGCCACCAGCACCCCATGTAGGTCCCCACAGCCTTGTCTAGGGTGGGATTGGGAGATGGACGGGCACAGGGCCACTCACAGGATGGGAGCCTTGGGCTGTGACTAAGCTTCTGCCAGTGTCTGCTCCCTAAACTGCACAGGGAGGACAAGGGTGGGACCTGCCTGGTGGAGGGAGGGTTCAAGTATCTGGAGGAACGCGTAGCTTCAGAGAAGGCTCAATTAACATGAGCTGCTGGCAGCACCATCTCTTCCCTGGGAGCATCTCTGGGTTCTGACTCGTCCCCCACGTCCCTGGCTGAGGGTATCTTATTTCCTCCTCTCCACTGCTCTTTGCTGTAAGTACTGCTAATTATCTAAGAAACGGTGCAGAGTTGCTCCTCCATTCCTGACTCCGGGCTTGGTGCTCGGGATACAATCAGGGCCGAATCATCCACAATTCCTGATCTTGGGGGCATCCACGTGGCAAAGGAACAGACGGGAACTGGGTGGGCAGGCATCTGATCTCATGAGGGCACGAGGGGACGTGTGGGACAGTGGGTCCAGAGAGAGCTTCCAAGGGGGACGTGATCAACTGCAAGGCAAGGAGAAGAAGCAAAACCTTTCCAGGAGGATTCAGCAGCAAATGCACAGAAGCCCGGATGGAAAGGATCCCTGCCCACTCAAGGGGAAGGGAAGGATAGAGAGGCAAAGGCTGAGTGAGCCCGTGGGAGCAGGGGAAAGCAGTCCCCTGTGTCTTCAGCGGAGGCTCCGACAGCTGCAGCATGTCTGGAAGTGGACACAGAGGAGCACCGAGGCCCACCGCAGTGGGCTGTGCTGAGTCATGCTGGAGAGGTGGCTGAAGGGCAGCTGCTGTGCGGCTGGAAGGAAGGCGGCCACACTCCTTGGCTGGACTGGCCAGTCTCGGACAAAAGCACCAGAGCCATGGCTATGATAGACCTTGGCCGTCTGGAGCCAACCTTAGGGAGGGTGGGAACACGAGAATGCGTGGCCAGGCTCCATTTCTCACCAACTCCAGGGCTCCAAGAGCTTGATCCGACCTAGAAAAATAAAGGCCATGGCGTGTCTCACTCCCGTGTCGCGGCACACACCCTGACCCAGCTCTGCTCCTCTCACCCGATGTTTGTGGTCACCTGTGGTCACTCCACCCCATCCCTGGGTTTCTTCTTCCTCCTGGTGTCTCCGCAAATCCTGCAATCCTATGAGGCCACCTCCAGTTCACCTCTTTTACAAAATCTTCTCAGCCTCTACAGCCACACTGGCTTCTCTAGTCCTTGAGACTGTGGTTCACACCATGTTAACATTAATCCCAAAACACACCATCTCCATGTCCAGGTATCCAACACGTGTGTTCTCATTTCTACTGAGAAAGTAACCACAGACGGGGCCTCAGACAGTGTAGGAACTCAAAAAATGTAGGTCTGATTTTCAGAGGCCACAGTGTAACGACCCACTGTATACTTTCACGGACAGAAGAGAACCGTCTGCAAAACACTGATAATTCTCTTAAACTGCATTCATTCATCACAGTCTCATTCATGTATTCATTCCACATGTATGTTTTACGCATCTATTATGCTCCAGTCATCACATGCAAGATGTTTTTGATAAGAAGATGACTTTTAAACTGAAAAGAAGTATTACGGATGCTTTGGGGTTTTTTGAAGTGGATGGTATTTTGAAACACTGTCCTGTATATCTAATTTCTTAGTACCCTCAGACTATACATCTAAGTCAGCCGAAGTGCTGTGACTGACCAGCATGGCACAGAGCATGGCACGGTGTGGGCTGCACAGCTCCCACCGGGCTGCTCACTTCAGAGCTTTGAGGATATTTTGTTTGCTTGTTCTGAAACGGAATCTCACTCTGTTGCCCAGGCTGGAGTGCAGTGGTGCAGTCTCGGCTCACCGCAACCTCCGCCTCCCAGGTTCAAGCAATTCTCCTCCTTCAGTCTCCCGAGTAGCTAGGATTACAGGCTCCCGCCACTATGCCAAGCTAATTTTTGTATTTTTAGTAAAGACGAGGTTTCACCATGTTGGTCAGGCCAGTCTCGAATTCCCGAACTCAGGTGATCCACCCGGCTTAGCTTCCCAAAATGCTGGGATGACAGGAGTGAGGCACCGCGCCCGGCCAGAGCTTTGAGGATGTCAAGGGAAGAATCAGGGAAGTCAGGCCCAGAGTTATCTCCATTCTAAAAAGGAAACAGCAGGATTCAGTAAAACCTTAGGAAGTCCTTACAATAAACAAGCTCCATCCTAATCTTCAAATGCAAATCCCCTTCTGAATAAAATATTTCTTCCCCTTGTCCCCACGCCCCACCTCTCCACCGTCTTCCTAAACAATTTCCCTCCTCCACATTCTATGCGAGCATAAAATGCCCCTGCTGGCCGCAGGCATCCCCACCATGCATGCACCTCCCCACTGGCCTCATGTAAATATTTAATATTCTTTGTTTAAGATCTGCCAATCCTGTATCCTACAGTCATTCAGAGCATGTTCTGATTAATATAGAGTTTGTCAATAGTGCCTGTGGCAAAGGGTAACTTTGGGTCCTAAAAGATCCAGCCCCTTTCATACGCTTAACTTTTATTTTGCCTGTAATAAATGTTTACTATAGAAAATACAAAAACTGTAGATAAGCAAAGGAAACTATTATCTACAATCTAATAGTCTAGAGCATTGTATTATCTACAATACAATAGTCTAGAGCAAATCACTGTTAGGGAAACTCTGGAAGACTATTCAACAGAATGCAACTGTCCAAAATACAGGTTTTTGTGTTTTTGTTTCTGTTTCGGTTTGGTTTGTTTTTTGAGACGGAGTCTTACTCTGTCACCCAGGCTGGAGTGCAGTGGCATGATTTTGGCTCACTGCAACCTCTGCCTCCCGGGTTCAGGCAACTCTCCTGCCACAGCCTCCTGAGTCACTGGGAATACAGGTCTGTGCTGCAATGCCCAGCTAATTTTTGTATTTGTAGTAGAGACGGGATTTCACCATGTTAGCCAGGCTGGTCTTGAACTCCTGACCTCAGGTGATCCGCTGGCCTCAGCCTCCCAAAGTGCTGGAATTACAGGCATGAGACACTGCACCCACATACAAAATGCAGTTCTTACAAAGGATGATGTCAGCTCATGTCAGCTCATTACTACTTAGCGTACACGCTCCTCTTTTAACCGGGAGTCATAATCCTCTCACAAAATTTTTGTTCGTATTTGCCGAATCCTTGGAGTAAAGGTCTAAAAGGAGGAACTCTGGGTCCCGATGTATGCCACTTTAAATGGATTTTGCTACAAATTGTCAAATCGCCCTCCAGGACTTTATTCCAATTAACACCCTTGTCAGCTGTGAGCCTTCTGATTTCCTTCTATTTGCCTCACACTCAGCTCATCCGTGGCCTTTCCAGGCAGTAAGAAATGATACCTTATTGTTTTCATTTTCCCTCTTTTTTGTTAAATGCCAGTTTATGTCTGGTGAAGACTTTTCTAAGGCAAATTCATGTAAAGAAGGGATCAGGTGGACAATTGATAGAAATGCCAGTGGTTCTTTCCTGAGTTTAGGAACACACATGACAGATCGCTTGCTGTATTCCAGGCAAGACCGTCTCCTTGCCCCCAAAACTTAGACATCAGTGTTGAGCTTAGACCGACAGACCAGGGCTGCGTGTTTTCTCTACAGGCATTTGCAAAGCCATTTATTTCCGTTCCAAAATTGTGAATTGAAAAAGAACACCTTGGCCAGTTTGCTGACTGGAGCAGTCTTGATGGGGTGCCCACTCTGTTCCGCAAACTTTTCTTTTTTCTTTTTTCTTTTTTTGAGACAGAGTCTCACACTGTCGCCCAGGCTGAAGTGCAGTGGCGGGATCTCGGCTCACTGCATGCTCCGCCTCCTGGGTTCAAGCTATTCTCCCGCCTCAGCCTCCCTTGTAGCTGGGACTACAGGCACCTGCCACCACACCCAGCTAATCTTTATATTTTTAGTGGAGATGGGGTTTCACCATGTTGGCCAGGATGGTCTCAATCTCTTGACCTCGTGATCTGCCCACCTCGGCCTCCCAAAGTGCTGGGATTACAGGCATGAGCCACTGTGCCTGGCCCCAGGGGCTTTTCTATCAACTTTACAATCTAATTGGGGTGGAAGAGTGAGAAGCAAGTAAGCAAATCAACAAAGAAGAAAATACAAACACCTAGCAGTGAAAAGCACTGGGGTAGTTGGAACTTGGGATGTTTGTTTTCTTGTCAAGCAAAGGGTGGTTTTCAATGAATTTATTGAGCTGATGAGTGAACTCAGTAAATATTTACAGAATATCTACCCACGTGCCAGGGACAAAAATGAACAAGACTTGGCCTCTTACCTAAAAAGAGTTCTAATTTGAGGTATAGAGAATAGGGAGAAAATAGAAATTGAAGAAATTCTTTTGCACGTCTTACTGAATAGTAATTTATGCATCTCAGGCTGCTCCCTCAGGGCCCCACACTCCCATCCCCTAATGACTCTATGTGGCAGCCAAGGTAGACACGGTCTCCACCTTGCAAAGAAAGATGGCGCTCCTGGGAGGTGAGCCTTACCCAGGGTCACGGCGTTGGCAAATCATCCAGCTGGTGTGCACACAAGACCTTCTGACGCCAAAGCTAGTGTTCTGGCCATTACCCCCTCCCACTTGGAATGGAGTGAAGAACTGGGAGAAGAAAAGGCATTGTGGAGAGGGAAGGAGAGGTGACGCAGCCATTCAGTTGATTACACAAACTGAATCTGATATTCAAGACTGTCTGCGTAAGGCCAAAACAACCGGTCAGTGTATCCGAGTCCAACAGTCTGCCGTGTCCTGGGGAAATAGTCATTAAATCCATGATCTGATGTTGAGTGCTCAAGCCTGGCCCACACTTGCATGCTTTGCTGTTTGTTTGTTTGTTTTTCATTTTCATTTGGCTCCGCTGATGCTTGGGGTTCCTGGGCTTCAGGTCGGCACGTCTGGGGAGGACCTAACACCACGGCACGTCATCTGCACAGGACAAAGGTCTGATTTATTAATTATGCTCGTCCCTGAGGGGAACAGAAACAAGGGCACTTTAGAAGGCAAAGAACAATCCTGCTGCGAAATGATGAGGCCCGTGGAAAACAAGTTGAAGCCGGACTGTGAGAGCAGAAACACACAGTTCCGCAATCCTGAGCGGGAAGTCCTCACCTGCCCGCGAGCCTCTCAGCCTGACGCCAAATGGATTTTCCTCCAGACATGCTGGGATCGACGTCAGCTTCTGTTTCACATGCCCCCACGTGTGTCAAGGCTCTTTTTCCTTCTGTTAGCAAGTTTATTGTGGAGACCACACGTGCTTCTCGTGGGCCCCTAGGGCGGTGTCCTGGATTTCCAGGTCGGTCCAAAGATACCGATGAAGACAACAGGCAGATAAACAGCAGGTTGCACCTCTTGCTAGCATCTCTCTGTATCTGGTCTTCATAAGAGAGTGGGGATGAGGAAGGGAGGGAGGGAAGCAGAGCAGAGAAGAAGTCAGGAGGGAGCAGCAGAGCCCAGGGGAGGGAGAAGAGATGTCCTCCAAAGAGTGGAGGCTTCAGCCAGCGCTTGCCCACCATTCGCATGGGGTATGTCCAGGTTCTGTACACAAGATCTCTACGTTCACCCGTTTCAAGCTTATACATACTTGAACAGTGTTTGTTTTCTATACCATTTTATCCACAAAGGGGGCCACCTTCCAATTCAGGTTCTCCTCCAAGCAACTATTAAAGGATCCATTGGATGAGCGGGTGACGTGTACAATTTATGACTTGTTATCATGTTCAGCTAAAGAAATACTGTGGCTTTTGCTTTGCTTGAATGAAATTAAGTGAAATCAGCTGGTCCGCAGAGACGGTGCCAATGGCATCTGAGATGGAAGGGCCACAGGGACGAGGAATGAACCTCAGCCCTCCCGTAACTCTCCCGACAGAAAGAATCGGTTTAGGTATTCACAGAGCAGGCAGAGTGTGCTCTGGGCACATGTGGGGACCAAGCAGGGTCCTGTGGCCTCTCCCTCCTGTCCTGCCAAACCAGCCATCAGCTTGGCCAGCAGCGTTCCTTGTGATTTTTGAAGAGCTTGACCTCACTCAGCAAGCTTTCCACTGATTGATGGGAAGAAATCAGGTGATGAACTATGTACACTCATGGGGATTTTCTTTTAAAAGGTCACTTTAACATAAAATGATGACCACATTAATTTCAAGTTTGTACAATTTTGATATGCATATGGACAAAGACTGGAAGGAGACCATACATACAAAAAATTCTTCTCATATTAGGGATAGCGAGCTGACTATGCAATTCTGTCAACTTGTATTGAGTGTCTATTGGAACTGAGCAACGTGTTAGGGATTCAAGCCCTGCAGTTTACCATCTGTCTACCAGTGGACAGCACATCCTCATCATGTGTGGATGATCACACAGATAACTATGGAGTTACCCATGGTGATGCACTATAGTAGTTCATTTGCACTACAATAAAGGAACACCTGAGACTGCGTAATTTATGAAGAAAAGAGATTTACTTGGCCCACAGCTCTGCGGGCTGTATAGGAAGCATGGCGCCAGCGTCTCCTCCTGGCGAGGCCTCAGGAAACTTCCAATCATGGTGGAAGCTGAAGGAGGAGCCAGCATATCACTTGGCCAAAGCAGGATCAAGAGACAGAGGGAAGGCTGGGTGCAGTGGCTCACACCTGTAATCCCAGCACTTTGGGAGTCCGAGGCCAGCAGCTCACATGAGGTCAGGAGTTCGAGGCCAGCCTGGACAAAATGGCAAAACCCTGTCTCTACTAAAAACACAAAAATTAGCTGAGTGTGGTGGCGCATGCCTATAATCCCAGCCACCTGGGAGGCTGAGGCAGGAGAAGCACTGGAACCCGGGAGCTGGAGTGAGCCGAGCTGCAGTGAGCCAAGATCGTGCACTCAAGCCTGGGCAACCGAGTAACACTGCATCTCAAAAGCATCTGAGATGGAAGGGCCACAGGGACGAGGAATGAACCTCAGCCCTCCCGTAACTCTCCCGACAGAAAGAATCGGTTTAGGTATTATTAAATCCATGATCTGGTGTTGAGTGCTCAAGCCTGGCCCACACTTGCATGCTTTGCTGTTTGTTTGTTTGTTTTTCATTTTCATTTGGCTCCGCTGATG